AGTCAAACCAGCTATCAGCTTGTTTTTAAGGAACTCTTACAAGAGGGTTCCACCGTCTTGCTAGCGAGTGGTCGTTCCTGGTAGTTAACCAAAACTTTGGCTTTTCTGCCTTTCAAAAAAGTGAATATACAGCGGGTTTTTTAATCTGTTCAATGTAAGCATGTGCAGTATGACGTTTGCCAGATGAGATCACAAGGAAGTGAAGGGGACTAGATTGAATAAAAAAAGAATGTGCAGAAGGTGGATGTCCTACTTGATCGAAACGACTCCAGTGGGACGTTTGAAGTGCCAATGAACTCATTCGCTGGTCCGGTACCCAGTACCACTTATATATGACATACTTTTGCCTCCTCGTTTTGCTTGTTTGAAAATTTTGAGAAAAATATTTCTGATGAAAAAAGTTTGCGAAGTGCGCTTCCTCCTACCACACCATTCGTAAGTTCTAGGCAAACACAAGTGAACTTTTAGAAATCTCCGGAAAATTTTCGCTTAGCGAGCTAAAAAATCCTTCAAAACTGTGTTGTCACTACCTCCCATATTGTGCGCTTTTGTGACTCAGTGTCACTAAAACCTTTATCACTCATTCTTGCCTCTCTTCCCTCCTATTCTCAGCACCCCAAGAATTTCGAAACTTTCGAAAAAGTCGCATTAGAGTTCTTGTTCTGAGCTTTTCGAATCTTCTACAAAATCCAGTTTAAGTCCCCTCAAACAAAAAAAAAAATACAGTGTAGGATACCTGAGGATGTTGGTGATAACTTCAGGACAGCTTTTGCTTCATTCTCGTTTTCAGCCACCTGAAGCAGATTGCAAAAGAATGTTTTTATAAGTGGGTACAATCCTGTTTTTTCAGTGGCAAAATTCTCTATTAAAGTGCAAATTAATAATAAAAATATTCAAAGGGATGTAAAATAAATTTACCAAATCTCCAGCTTTGATAACAAAAGTTGTAGTGTCTGCTGAATCGGACACTGAAGGTGCTAAATCGCTATACTCCGCTGCTGGCGCTGGTAAATCAAGATCCTTTTCTGCAGTTTCTAAAAACATTCTCATCATTGTGATTATTTCTAGTTTGTTAATTTTTTATGAGTTTTAGCAAAAAACCAAAGATAACTCATGTTTGGTGATCATTGTCAGTACATCCAATATTATCAAAGTCACTAAATGAACTCTGCTTCACTTAGTATGCTTGATAACAATCAGTGAGGTGCATATTAGCAAGGAAATAACGCGCACCAACAGGATTACTTAACCTCACATTTCGAGTTTACTCTTTGACTCACCTTTTGATCCGAATGCTGTCACCGTAAGTTGTTCCTGCACGGGCGTTGTATCCTTGTCACTCAGAGCGACAGGCGTTATGCATCTCGTCGTCTAAAGGAAAGAAGGTCTTCCTCTGTGCAGATTTTAACATCACTGGGTTGTCAGCCTTTGTAATAGCATAAGAAAAAATGCCTAGGATTGTATATTTTGCAAATAAACTTCTTTGTAACTTTCATTTTCACTAGCAAATTTAGAAGCGAAAATTCAGCATCCTCAGAAAACTGCTCCGTTTGAGGGAGGTTTTTTTTGATACAATAGGACATCCTCTAGATGCACTGAAATCTTTTGAAACATTTAATAAAGCGGAAAGGTGGCAGCCACCCTACCTCATAACTGGTGTGCTCTTGAACCTTAGCAATATTGATTAAAACGTTCGTGATTTGTTCCTCATCATGTGAAGACTCATCGTCCTCGTCCTCCTCCGCTTCTGCTTCGCTATAGGAAACATATTTCTCACCATCGGAAATGAAAAAACATTATCAGACAATTGGTTTACAACGTCAGAAACGTCATCAACAAAAAACCAGCATTG